AAATGTCTATTTCAAATTCAAATAATAATGTCTTTAAAGATAACCTAAAAGTTTATATGGGCTGAACTTTACCTGATTTGTCACCGCCCACCTAAATGAATCTTTCAGAATCAATTGACTTTTAGCTGTTCAGGCAACCTTGCACAGAAACATTTATGTGAGTAGTGGTATCGATATTTATCTACCACGTACGTCTAGGTATTGAAACTAAATTAACCTCAAAACAAACCAAAGCGAGAAGTGTACTTTTCTTTACATGCCAAGTGTGGTATTTAATATAGTCTCTTTTTATGTGTTCCAGATTTTCACAAAAGTAATAGCCAGATTATTTATCTTTTTCAAGCTTTTATTGTTTCTTTTAAACTTAACTGATGCAGCATCTTTATCCTTTAACTTGTCTTTAGAGGTACTTACAATTCTCTCTTATTTTAGACTTTCTTCTTCTTGCACACAATATGAAATGAACATATCAAGAATCCACTTCCCCTTTTTGACAACTGTGACTGATCTTAAATTAATTGAATTGTGCAGGAAGAGAAATCAAAACCAAATGCACGAACAAGTTATCAGATAGCTCAAACTTTAATACATTTAATCGTAAAGCAAGATGAGATATATCCATGATTTAGTCCCTTATATTTTCTCCAGCCTTATATATTAATAAAATTAAATTCGCCAGAAGCGTACTAGTCCGGCAATATTGCTTTTTGCAAAGCGTATTTCAATTTCTTTAAGAAATTCTTTGGCATATACTTTATTGGACATAATGCCTCTGAATATTGCTAGAATTTTATGCTTCATGATCATAAGACTTATGCAGTTTGAACGATCCCGCTTATTTGATTTCCATTTTTATTAGCGGAACTTTTATCCATAAGATTAGTGGGTTGTTTAGTTTTTAATGCAATGTCTAGATCTATGCTGTCAAGACAGATACAAACTTTCTCTTTCCAGCCCTTCAACTTTGGTTCAAACACAAGAATTGAATTGATGTTGGGAGATATTGTAGAAGTTGATGTTACCTGAATAGATTATTTAAACATAATTAATACGTTCGCATAGGAATTCATATTGAGCAATCAATAAATTCAAATATTGGTAGGCCCCATCATAAGAGACTAGGTACAACATTGACATTTAATCTTTGGGTAGAAATATCAACTTGTAAGTGGTACTCTTGTTGTAGTAATCAAATATTGAAAATAATCCACTTCAAACATTAAGTCTTTCTTTGGATTGACTCAATGTTCACACAAAAGAAATTTTATAATTGTCACATATTTATTACCACTTGTATATAAATAATTCGGCCAAATATTGATATTCCTTTGGGCCGATCAATATCCGCATGAATTACGTACATACAACATTCCTAATATTCTAAATAAATTAATTTAGACGAGAAATGTTACTTTGTTAATATGTTACTTCAATTAATCTATTTTAGAAAATTAGTAATTCAAAAGAAATATTAAGTATCAAAATTTGAAATTGATTGCCCCTTATACACACACACACACACACACACACACACACACACACACACACACACACACATACTAGTCAAATGTCCGTGCAATGCACAGGCTGTATTCTTTTTAAGGTAATATTAGTGTGTCGATCGTTCAGGATTGATAGCAGATATGTGCTATGGTTTAGATTGGCAAAATGCATGGGTTGAATTATGATAAAGGACTAAACATTTAAACCTTCTAAGTACAGATAATGATTTCAATTATTTGTTCAAGTTCAAAGGGACCAATCTTGTCATTTATTATTTAGCTATATAGTAGCCCTTTCCTGTTAAAATAAATGACTATATGCGGGATATGTTTCAGCAGCTTGTATATCCTAAGTCCTCAACCTTCACTTGTTCAAAATTGAATCTAACCCACCTTTTCAATTGAGCATCAAATGCTAGATGCAAGAAAAAAAAAGGATACAAGAGATGCAGAATACAATTAGGCAGCATTGCTAGCTTATACATCTAGATTATAACCATTTCTGTTCACCTTAATTGTCACATAACTTCTTCTATGGGAGAATTACTCAGAACCTTGAGAAGTACTCAAAACGAAAAAAAATTTATCTGCATAGAAAATCTCATCATGCCCATTCCACTGTTATGATTTCATCACATTTTGCATGACTTGTACACCCCCATGGAAAATAAAAGCACGTCGTAAATCGAGTAGAAGTAATCTGATGAATGCGTACAATCCAAGAATAATCTTTATGTAAAAACTGGCAGTCAATAGATACAAACTCTGTTTCTTTATCATTATTCTAACTGAATACAATCTAACTGCTCAAATTAATTCAAAAATTTTTGGCATATGAAATACAATCACCCGGCAAACAAGGCAATCAAGTTTCTATGCACATCACCTTCGCTTTAGATACAACTGCTTGACCCAAGTGGGATCAGAAGTCATGTTGATGTTCGGCTTCATGTGTAGAATTTCTGTCAGAATTTTATAGCAATCAGTAATGGAGAATCACAGTTAGGTAAAAGGAAGCAAAGAAAAACCAAAATAAAAAGAGAATTACAACGGGAGCTTCTTCAATTATTTTCTGATATCTTCTCCGGACGCTGGAATCTCTCTCATTAAGATGTATTACATTACCGAGTTTGTCCCCAAAGATCTACAAATTATAGTTCAGATAAACACAAGTTCAGAGTCACATGTTCCGAATTGCTTTAATTATGATCTTGTTTGTAGATGAATTTTGGGAGCATGAAGTAAAAGAAATTTATGAATTATATTTAGCTCCTGTTTGAGACCCATTTTTCAAAAATCTATTTTTCTTCAATCTCATTTTTAACCACACATTTTCCAATAAAATAATTTTACATATAAATTCAGAACTTTTCACTACTTTTTCACTACACATTCTATATAAAATGACTATTACAAAATATATTTTTCACAAAAAAATGGGCTCAAACAGTGGCTTATATTAAATTGATCGTGATAAATAGACAGTCAATAGCGTAAAAAGGTTGACGAAACCAAATAAGTATACCTGGACTTCTATGTGACTTGGTTTTGTAATATATTTTTCCAGCAAAATTGTGTTTATGCCAAAAGATGCAGCAGCCTCACATTGTGCTCCCAAGAATGAATCAACAAAATCGTTAGGATCTTGAACAATTCTCAGTCCCTGAAAGTGGCAGAAAATAAACCCCAGATAAATTATGGTTCCAGCCCCCATCCATGATCATGTCATTGTATTGATGATCAGTGATAGTAGGTCTCCAACTAAGAATAAATAAACAGAAATGCCTTAAGGTAAATGCTAAATGATGAACTTGGTGTCACAACTCACATGGTAAGATTCAAAATGGTGCATAGCAGGGAAATTTAAGCTTGAAAGCAGCTATATAAGAAGTGCTCTGAAGCAGACTCTAACCATCCAAACACTTGCACACCTACCAATTTTGACTGGAATGTTGCATATAGTACCAAATTTTATTACATCTTAGTATTCCAGTTCCATCATGTCTCTCTTGCCATTTCAGCTCCAGAAAATTTAAAAGTTAGGAACAAATAAGAAATGGAAAACACAGTTCATAAAAACAAAAGGTGCACAGCAATAAAATACACAAGGCATTACATCAACCATAGTTGTAATCATCAACAAGCTCAGAATCTTAATATTCCAAGAATTATAATAATCATTATACAAAACTCAATAAAAGGCACACCTTTCCTCCACCTCCATGAGTTGGCTTGATTAAAATAAGATATCCAATTTTGTCTTCTTCTGACTTCATAAAATCAATATGTTGTTCATCACCATGATATCCAGGCACGAGTGGTACTCCTGCAGCACCCATTATTCTCTTTGATGCACTGAACAGACAGTCAACTCTATACTAATTAATAATTACGGAACATGAAAAATTATCATTCATTAGAACTGTTTATGAGTTTTGTGATGGGATAAATGTGGATTCTATTAAGCACCAACTGTACATGCATTGAGAAGCTCCTACTATCTTCTTAAACTGAAAAAAAGACAGAAACTCATAAATAAAAGTAATTAACTTAGTACTTAATTTATTTATTTTAATAATTTTTTTTAAAAATTGTTTATGTAAACCCATTAGCTTATTGAATATTATCTGTAAAAGGGACGGCAACAATATCCAAAAAAATATTATCTGTAAAACAAATGGACACACATACACACAGGACGAGAGAGCAGAGAGAGAGAGAAGAGATGGGGGAAAACACATTAGAGCCTAAATATGTAAAGAACAACATCTATGTCTCATTTCCCATAAATTTAGGTCAGCTTAGTGAATTATTTTCCATCACTTAATTCGAGCCACCACCACATCTAACAGAAAGTCCAAAGAAATGTAATCTTTTGCAACCACACTGAGTTAAGGTTAATTTTAATTGCATGTACATATACCAACACGTTTTACTGGAATTTTTTTTTTATAAGTACGTTTTACTGGAATTAAAGACAACGTTGTTGCCAAAATGAAACATTCCACTACAAACAATAAAAGAAAAAAAAAAGCAACAAAAAATTGACATAACAAACACCTAAAATTGGAAGCTAAAACTATCCAAAATCTACAAATAGAAAAGTTTCTTTATAAAATAAGATTACCCTACATGAAAGCAAATATGAAATATTACCAGTGTTTCAATTCTATACTACTCCATAGGTTTGAACCGAATCGAGGCTTCTTCACCTTATTTTCTCCACAAACACTATAATTATAATATTACCGTATACGTGTGTGCGCGTACACGATTGAGAGTAAAAAAAAATTACCTCAGGACTCTTGGTGATGAAGATAAACCTTACAATAGAAAATTACTGCCTTAGGAATTTAAGCTTTAGCAGCAGATCGTTGAAGTCACGCATTTGAATGCAAATAAGCTTTTTTAAGATTAGGAAACTTACAACAATTCCTTTCAAATTGAACTTATTCTCTTTCAACAAAAGTAGTAATTGAATATGGAAAATAACTAATAATTAGAAACAAAAGTTCTGGTTGATTAAATAGACCTCCATAGCAAGAAAGCCAAATTTGATGTTTTTCAGTTTTGAAGTGCTAAGACAAAAAATTCACTTGCTTTAAAAGCAAACTCATGAATATATTCACACATGTACATCTTTCTATACAAATGACTTAGCC